CTGAGCCAATTGAAACTCAGGGAGAAACCATAAAATAATATTATAGGTTGAAGCTTCTGGTGCGATACATATTATATCTGAGAGTCAGAGAACCTGGTTCTAAAATCTGTGATAACTTTGCCAGTCTCTTGCACCCAGTAACACAGCCCCTATATCCTCTGCCGTTAATGCAGTAGTGCCTTTTGTCCCATATTTGCAAAGCTTTACCTCAAAAGTGAGTTGTTTCCCCCTTATTCTTTCTTTGCAATAAAAGCTGCTTTTCTATATAAAGTTTATGATAGAGGCTCATGGATTCAGCTTTTTTTTTTAATTTATATGTTACCAGAGATTATAATAAGTTTAGGCCTTAACATATTTTATATTTAAATTCAGATTTTGTTTTAAACAGATTTATTTAAAAACAAAGATTAATGCATACTTTAAATAAAATCCATAGATTGTTATCTCCCCTGACTATTTCAGGGCAGTATTGCTGCAACCTCCCTCGGTTCTTCTCATTACCTACGGCTGGATTTAGAGCAAGTCATATGGTATTTCCTCAGATGGTTTCTTGTCTTCTGAGATTTTGTTATAAATAGATTATAGTTAGTTAGTAGTACCCTTAATATAAATTAGGAATAGTTAGGTTAATTAATGATCCTATTGGAATGTCCTCACCAGAGTTTAAACACTGTCTGTGATGAGGGGTAACTGTTCCCAATAGCGATCCCACACGTGGTGTTTGTGTCTAGGAGAAGGACACTGTTAAAGAAAATGCTCATTTGCAAGTCTCTTAAGAAAAGAACACAGGTGCCAAGGAAATTGAGGTTCAAGCAGCACCTTACAGAATGCACTGTGAAGCATGCATATGCACTGAAGGCACAACTTTGAAGCTGAAAGCAAACTTCAGAGCAAACCAGTGTTCCTCATTCAGATGCTGATTCCTCCCCCAGGAGAAAGATATCATTCTCCTTCCTCAGGTCTTCCAAGAAAAAGGTGTGTCAAAATTGTTTGCAGCCAATCCGGAGGTCAAGGAGAGTCTTTCTCCTCTTCTATGAGAAGTACACATCAGCATTGTGATATTTCAAGTATGCAAGATGGAACTGAGCCATCTGCTTGCTCTCTGATACTGAGGAAGCATCAGCTTGACTGTGCCAGTAGTGATAACGTCGTCACTGAGTTATCATGCCGTATCAGAATTGCTTTCCCCTCTTCCTGATTCCCTCACTGTTCAGGAGCATTCAATTGCTGGGACCTCATTGAGACACTGCCTGGCACCAACTGGAATCATTGCAGATGTATCCTAGTTGTTGGCTGAACTGATGACTGCAGTTCATACCACATCTTTGGGACTAGTTCCAACTTCAGCATTGTGCCATCTTTTGTGTCATTACCAAATAAGAGTGCAATGCCCCTGCCCCTCTGCATGCCAACCCCTGTATCTCTCTTGGTGCAGATTGTGTCTTGGATGAAGCTGGACATTTGTTCACCCCACGTAAAGTGGTTTCCCCAATACTGTCTGCTGACTTTGGGGATTCATCAAGTTGAAGATCAGGTACATATTACACACCCAGGCATGTGCACGCACCCCTTCAAGACAGAGTTAAACGACAATCAGATAAGTCACCTGAAACATCTAGGGAGGGATTCAAGGCATTCATTGCTGAAGGTCATCTGGTTGCCAAGACTTTGCTGTCAGCTCTAGACATAATGGGTGCAGCTTCCAGAGCTGTCACATTAGCAGTAACAGCATGAAGGGCATTGTGGTTGCAGAATTCTAGATAACTTTGCACATCTAGCAGAGTGTAGAAGACTGCAATTCAGCATTTTTTATATTCTCTGAGAAAGTGGGTGAGACTTAACATACATTTAAGCCTTTAAGGACTTGTGAGCAGCTCTGCATTCCTTAGGTATTTATACATCTTTTTGCTGGTCTACAATACTTTTTGCTGTAATACTACCTCACCAGTATTTCAGATGGACACTTTATTGGTTAAGATGTCAAGATAACTCCAGAAAGGGGAATAAATCTCACAGGAAAAACCTGCTGGATATAGTTTATCTAAACAGCTTATTGTCCTCCATTTCAAGAAGCAGCCTATTTGACTAGTAAATTAAGAGCAACAGACCAATTCCGAAATCTCAACCCTGTCGCCTCTATTTGGCATAGTTGTAGCTTTGTCGATCCCAGGATATTAGACATGGTGGGAGGGTTGCAATATATTTTATTGGACCAGCTTCTGTTGGTGAGAGACAGAGAAGCTTTCAAGGCGCAGAGTCCTTCAGGTCCATGTACTTCAATATGGCAACACGCTATCTTGCTTCAATAATGCCTGGAAAACAGTAACAGTGGACAGATAGAGCCTAAGCAGTATGAGATCGTATTAAACCATATGATTTCTGTCAAATCCCCCCCCCCCATCCTTCTACCCAGGGTTATTTGATTTAAATCACCCCCAAAAAATTATTGATTTAAATACAATTTCTCACTGATATTACTTCACATACTTCTTCAAACAGTCATGCAAATCTGAGCACTAAAACTTGTTAGATTTAAATACAATTTCCCACTGATATTACTTCACATGCTTCTTCAAACAGTAATGCAAATCTGAGCACTAAAACTTGTTAATTTACAGCTCAGTATATCATTTTACGTCATCTAATAGGGTATACTTTGTTTAATTTTTTTTAGATAACTTGATTTTTGTATTAATCTAGGAAATAGTACATAATGCTTATGTATATCATGCTGCAGATGCGGCAGTAGTATATTAGGAATTCTAAGAACTAAATTATACACACAAACACAATAGCACTTATATTTTATTAAATTAGAAGACTTACTGATGTAAACACTCAAAGGAAGAAAAGATGGTTACTTACCTGTATCATAACTATTGTTCTTTGAGATGTGGCCAAAGATGTATATTCCTCCATCCCTTCCATTCCTTCTCCATCAGTCTCTACTCTTGATATTTGTTGTGAAGAAACTGAGAGCACTTTGGGTGATACTGTCCCTAACTAGCCAGGGAAATGTCAAGAGCCACAGAACATGAGTGCCATCCTGATGTGTACTGCTAGGAAAAGTTATCCCACTTGGGTACACTGAGTGTACACATCCTTGAAAGGAATATTTGTTTGCATTCAAAACTCAACAACAGATACAATACCAGTTGTGTGTGGCTATTCAGGGACAGTGTCATTCAAAACTTTCTTGGTTGCTTCACAACAAATTTCAAGAGAAGTAGACACTGAGGCAGAGGGTGAATACAATCCTAGGAGTTTGGACACAGTATTCCATTACCGGTCTCACCAATGCTGCATAGAGGTAATATTGCCTCCTTTCTGTCTTATTCAATATCCTTTATGGATTGTATTCCCCTTTTGACCACAGCATCATACTGGGAGCTTGTATTCAGTAAGTTCCCACTGTGACCCTCAAGCCTTTTTTAGTCATCACTTTCCAAGCTATAATTCCTAACCAATAAACATAGCCTCTGTTCTTTATTCCTGGATGTATGGCCTTGCTTTTGGTTGTATTAAAATGCATGTTTTAGCTCTGCTTAACAACTCATTCTGATTGCACAGTAACATTGACCAGTCCTCATTTTTTTGCCACTCCACAGATCTTTTGTCACCTGAAAACTTTATGAGCAAATGTATTTTCTTTCAGCTCATTGATTAAAATAGGACATAATTTTGGACCAAGAAATGATCCCTGATAATTTTACTTGAAAATTGATTTTAAATCAAAACCAACTGACTGTGCTTAATGACAGCTGACATGAGAGAATGCAATGGCAGTTCCCCTTTGTAGCTCAGCAGATAGGAATTTTCTAGGCTTTAAATGTTAAAGGAGAAATAGAATGATTCCCCTTAGTCCATCCTTTGAACCAAGGAGTGCTGCCGAGTGATTGGACTCTTAAATTTCATTTTTAAACAGCTGAATTAGAACATAGTTTAGTTTTTAATAGTTTGAAGTAAGAATAATACAGCGGCTGAGCTAGGCCAAGGAATAGAGAATCCTGCCAGCAAAAAGGGGTAGGATATGGAGGATGAGGGCTTGCTTTGGCTGCCACCACAGCTAACACCTGTTATATTTACTTTAAAATATGGGGAGGAGAAGAGAGGGAAAATGTATTTTAAGGTAAAATGAATATAGGGCTTTGTTCCTTTGATTATCAAAACCCAGCCATACACTGATCAGAGTTAGTGAATGGAATTGATAACACAAAAGACTCAACAAGTGAATCAGAACTTGATTTGAATAATCAGATTGCGCATCTCATTCCTTTACCTGGTGGCTCAGATTCCGTGTTAAAGAAAGTTAACAAGGGTTTGGCTTGTCTCATTTGGATCAAAAATCAGTTACACTCAACTAGGCCACGGTTGTCTTCTGAATAGATTTTCCAGACTGTGGTCTGAAGAGCTCTCTGTGCCATTCAAATGTTGTTCTATGTCCAGACATAAAAACCAATCATATAATATATTGTAACTAATATAAATTGTGATTCCCCATCACCACCAGTTTTTGCAAACAGTTTATGAATTAGTTTTGATTTCTGTTGTATTTGTAGTCAGTGTTTATAAAAAAACTCAAGTGAATACATTTCAGCTTCTTGTTTGTTATAGAAGTGGTTACAAATTTCTTTTGCTATGGAGATCACCACATTGAGATGGATATGGTGTTTTATGAGGCAAAGCTGATACTGGTTTGCTTGAGACAGTGTTTTCTAAAGTCTGGGTTAACAGACAGCAACACATCAGATTACATTAAATTTTTTCTCTGCAGTGTAGTAACATTTTAAACACAAAGTTGTTTTACAACGCAATACAGCTTTTGTAATGAGTCTGAAATCTCATACTGTTTTCGTATTTTTTTTTCTCATGACCTTATAAATCACTGAAAAATATGCAGGAAATTCATATTGCTGTTAATAGGAAGTCCCTCTTAGGTTACCCTGAAAGCCGATGCCCATTGGTCTGCTCTAATAGCCTTCTTTTCTTTTTCCTCGTAGGAAATTTGCTACAGGATCCTATTGCCCCCACCAACTCCACGTGTCAGCATTATGTCTGCAAAACTTGTAAAGGCAAGAAAATGATGATGAAACCATCATGTAGTTGGTGTAAAGACTATGAGCAGTTTGAGGAAAATAAACAGTTGAGCATTCTAGTGAACTGCTATAAAAAACTGTGCGAATACATAACACAGACTCCATTGGCACGAGACATAATACAGGCTGTTGACTGTTCTTCGGATCTTTTGGCTTTGCTCAAAGATGGATCACCACTCCATGAAGACACAGAAAAAACTTCCGATGCAGCCATGCCTTTATGTTTGACACATTCCCCTTTACCTTCAACCTCAGAACATACTAATGATCCTCAAGCTAGTTTTTCCTCCATACCAGAAAACACACACAATATTGATATTAGAAGTTCTGTTATCAATGGGTTGCCCAATTGTAATGGGCTTTCAGTGGATAAACTTGGAGTAAACATGCCTTCTCCTGAACATACAAATACAATTGATGTGTGTAGTACTGGAGAATACATAAAAACTGAGGATATCTCTAGCAGTCTTCAACCTGTGTGTGACACAGTTTCTACTAGTGACTTGTGTGCATCAGGCATTGACATCTGCGGTTTCAGTGAAGATATAAAACCTGGTGGCTCACTATTGCTTAGTGTTGAGGAAGTTCTCCGAAGCTTAGAAACTGTTTCAGGCACTGAAGTCTGTGGTTCTGATTTGCAGCCCAGCTTGGAAGCCACTGTATCCAATGGTCCTTTTCTGCAGCTTTCTCCCCCACCTCTTAGCCATAATGTTTTCATGTCCACAGGTGCTTCTCCACATGGGATCTCCTGTACAGCAGCAACACCTAAGGTTGTTAAGTTAAACCGAAAACGATCTCGATCAGAAAGTGACAGCGAAAAGGTTCAGCCACTGCCCATTTCCAGCATTCTTTGTGGCCCAACGTTGGGAGCATCAGCACCAGTAACAGTGAAACAGGAAAATAAACTGTCTTTGCAGCCTGTGGCAACTGTACCCAATGGAGGCACTACTCCCAAAATAAGTAAAACTGTACTTCTGCCTAATAAAAGCGTGAAAAAGACTCAAGAACATGCCCCCAAGAAATCTCACCCGAAAGCCAAACCAGGAATACTGAAAACAAAAGACAAAGCAAAAGAAAAAGTTGCTAGCAGTAATGTTATGCCAGGAAGTCCGACAAAAACTGTGTATAAAAAACCACAAGAAAAGAAAGGGTGTAAATGTGGTCGCGCCACCCAAAATCCAAGTGTTCTTACATGCCGTGGCCAACGTTGCCCTTGCTACTCTAACCGTAAAGCCTGCTTAGACTGTATATGCCGTGGATGCCAAAACTCATATATGGCTAATGGGGAGAAGAAGCTGGAAGCATTTGCAGTGCCAGAAAAAGCCTTAGAACAGACTAGGCTTACTTTGGGCATTAATGTGACAAGCATTGTGCGCAGTGCCAGCACAAGCACCAGTGTAATTAATGTGACAGGATCACCAGTAACTACATTTTTAGCTGCCAGTACACACGATGATAAAAGTTTGGATGAAGCTATAGACATGAGATATGACTGTTAAATCTTTTTTTTTCTTGGTCTTTTCCCTGCCCTTAGTAGGGGAACTGCTACAGTTTTAAGGCAGCTATGGTTCTGTTTAACTTGCCGAAGCTCCTGCATATAGATCACTTGTATCAAGTGTTTTTCATTGCTATGTTTTGTGTGTTAGTGTCTGGGAAATAGTTTGCAGATAATGGAGGAATTACCCTAAAACTATGTCTTTAGATCTCACAGCACCTCATAGTTTGAGATCACATGCTGATGTAAATGGTTTTAATACAAGATGACCTTTGGCAAGACACATATTAACCTTATTGTCCCAGTTAATGCTTTGTACACAATTAAAGCTTCCAATTAAATGTAAGGAAGTGTATCCAGTCAGTCCATCAAAATTGTGCTTGTTTATGATACGTGAAAGTAACTGCCAATTACACTGCCATAGGGCGTCAGTGTTGCTAGCAAATCACATCCCATTCATCTTGAAAATAGTTATTAACTAAGGAATACAGTGTTTGATTGACCCGTTGAAAATAGTTAACTAAGGAATACAGTGTTTGATTGACCCGTATTTTTTATCACAAACATTGGTTATCTAGAGCATGGAACTATTGCAAATCAGTAATTTCATGAAAAGAGAAGTTGTCCTTCACTGGAATTGGCTAAGAAGTAACAATACTAACAACTGCAGTAAGTAGTAAAGTGGCTGTCCCACGGATCCTGATTGAGCCTCTGTGTAATTGCTTTATTTGCTTTTTCTGAAAAAGGTAGATGTCTGACATATTTTATGTCATATGGCATAAACTCCATTCATCTTTGACATATTGCTGTTCATTTCATCATGAGAGAAAACAACTAATAAGCAAATACTTATATATACTTTACATATATAAATCTATTGATTTCAGTGGGAATCGCACGTAGTATTTGAGAACAATTTGACCCTAGGCCAAAAATATAAAAAATAAATCTGCTCTGGAATAAAATCTCTTGTCCCATTGGTGCCCTCCATACATCCTTGTTTATACAGCCTTTACTTGCCATTTTAAAATATGCATGAGTTAATAACACTCTACTGTGGATCTATTTACCCTAGGAAAATGGCCCATTGTTAATTGCTTCTCCTTAGTCAAGAAAGATAGGGTACATGGGATCAAATTATTCTCAGTACTCATTAAGTAAAGTATGCTGGATAGCTCATTTCCCCCCAATTGTTGATGCCCAGTTGGTGGATTTCCAGTTAATCTCTGAAAATAATGAAATAGTTTACAGAAGGCTTTTTGCATTTTGCACATTACAGCAGTTTTAAGTTTTTTATGCCATTTTTAAAAAGTCAGACTTCATGTTGCAGAGACATCTCATCTTTAAATGGCACAGCACAAATAAGAATAGTCTGACTAGCATTATTCTTCTAATTTAAAGGACAGATACTGTTATAACAGCATGTCTAAAGAGAAACAGTGCTAGAATTTTTCAAATTTCATTTTATGGCAGCCATATTTTTATTAATTAAATGAAACTTCCAATGAATTATGACATAATGTTGGATATATTTTGATTGTGCACAAAGCATGTACAATGAAGGTTACCTATCTAAGAAATAAGCAAAAACATTTTGGACACAAATCAAATGACACCACCTTTTGTTTTTGTAGTGTACCATGGTGTCATTTTCTGTGAACGTGGTCAGATAATTTTTTTGTTTTGTTTTGTATTCCCCCCCGTCTTTTTTGTGGGGTGGGGTAGGGTGGGGGGTTAAAGCCATAGGAAGAAAAATGTGATGTATGTGTCCAGTCTGTACTATTTTGTTTTTGTTTTGCAAGAAGAGTTGAAAAATATTTTTGATAACGAGAGTAAATGGTGGAAAATGCTTCTTAGTATTCTTGTCTTTATTTGCCAACCCAAGTACCTGAATTCTCTGTTTTTAACCCTCATGAGATTTAATGATGTCCTATTAAAACATATTTAGTTAAATTTGTATGTGATTTTGTGTGTTGATCAAGAGGATCCTACCCTTTTCTACTTTGGTGGTTTGACTTTGACCTACTCATGTAAATCTGTGTTTATTATTCCACTACATGTAAGTAAAGTAATCAAATGACAAACAGATTTTAGTGGAGATTGAGCAACATGGGTAGTTGCTTCTGAACACTTCCGCAAAGCTATTAAGTTTTGCTGAGATTATTGTTAGTACATTTATTTGTACTTTAAACTTTATACTTGAGTATACATTCCTGAATGTGGGAGTAGTTTTTAATTATTTATATTTTACTGTTGCATTAAGTGAGGTTCCAGTTGTTGGAGATTTAGGTGAAGTGTTTTTTGGAACCATTGATAGGAGATCCCTGAGCATTAATGTAACATTGCTAAATGGTAAATTCAGGTTGTTTTAAAAACAAGTTTCTTTTTATGCTACCACGTTCTTCAAATGTGTATTAAAATGTAAATAATTAATAAATGTTAGTTTTCTAATTCTATTTTGTAACTGCTGAGGGTACCAGTGTGGCATGTCTGGACGCTTTTTAGTTTTGGGGGAAAATTCTTTGCTTCTTCATAACTTAGTTAGCTTTTGTTTCTTTTTATTTTCTGCCTCCCATGTGTGTTGACAAGTAAATTAAGCAGTGGAAAAGGATTACAAGGTTGGAGAAGAGAACTGAAGTGAAATAATTGCATAGGTCCTGTCTTTCTAGTGCCATGTAAAGCAATCTGAATAGTAATTTAAATGATCTTTACCTTCATGTTGGCTGTGCTTTGGCTGTCTATACTAGTGAGTACCACAATTACTTAATACCACAAGCAGTGCTGCCCTCATGTAGTGGTGCAATAGCGGGAAACCTTGAAGTCTGCATTAGTGTAGACAGGACCACTTGGGACTACCTGGCATTTACTAAGTGTGCACGCCTTATCACCTCAGTTTTTCTGAAGTAATGTACTACTCTGCAAACTTTCTTCAAATTCTCTAATTTCAGAACTGCGTCGGCTACAAAAGCTGGTGAAGGATGTCTATCAAAGATATTTCCGATGTAAGCTGCTTCTTAACTGAGAGCATGCTGCACAGGAAGATCAAAAACTTGCTTTCAAAATGCCCTTCTCTGGATCATGTAATATTATATTAACATTGTATTGTGATATGCTTGGGCTCTATTTACTTTAGGAAAATGGCTCATGGTAAGGTGCAGTTCATATGGTACAAAATTAATGTGGTTGTACACAGGTGTACCATCTGAATAAAAGAGTACAAATCCTTTTTCAAGGAATAGAAACTTTTAAACATTTTCCATGCCAAATTACTATTTATATATAAACAAGTATGTCCAAGTTGCAAGCACATCTAGTTTTGATGGACTTTAAATTTATTATTTTTATTGTATCAGCAGTACACTTCATGTTTTAAAGAAACGTGAAGAAAAATGGTCTTTGCCCCAATGGTCTTACATTTCTCTAATTGTAGACAGGCACCAAAAGGCTGAGAAACAATTAGATGAAATAGTAAGTTGATATGCACTGACATATTTCGGGCATTAGCAGGTCATGAAATTCTGTTGTTTAAATAACATCTGTTTTTCCACCTTGTAGTTGATACGTCAAAAGTGAGTTTTAAGAAGGATTAAAATGAGGTAAGAATGGCGGTTTCATAAATGGACAGTGGGAATATGTTACACCCTGAAGGGGCAGTGTGATGAGGAATGAGAATAGGAGAAGTTGAACAGTGCTTTCATTGCAGGGGGAGGAGAGGATGGGGTCTCATTATTGTGGGGCCCCAGCTTCTGATTTATTTTAAGTCTTTGGTGGGAGGGAGTGATGTGACTTCCTCTGTGTCTAGCAACAGTCAGATGTTGCTGGGAGAGCAAAGGCAGCAGGTGCTGCCACCCCATGGCTGGGGGAGCTGGAGTGCAGCAAGGGGACAGTCCAATTACAACCAGTCTTACTGCCCATGCTTGGCACTTCACTGATATATCCCAGGCTCCAACATCCTATTCTGCCTTCATCCAGGCAAGAATAAGAGGTGCTGTTTGGTGTCTTGGCCATCTGCTTGACAAGAATCAGCTTGCACTACTCCTCCAGCTGCAGGGCTGAAGAGGGAGAGAAGAGAAAGAGGGTCAGAGACTGGGCAAGCTGAGGAGATGGGAGGTCAGAGACTGGTTGAGTTGGAAGGAGAGGGGACCTGGAATCTACAAGGAGGAAAATGGACTGAGAACTGGTAGTAGCAAGTAGAAGGGATGCTATGGAAATGCAGACAGGGGAGTTAAGTGCGGGGAGCAGGCAAGGGCAAAAGGCAGGGGACATGCAGTTGTTAGGGGATGCAAGGGCAGAAGGTTGGAGGGATAAAGCAGGAGTTAACAGATAAAGTGGGTTAACAGATAAAGGATGAGGGGGCAGTTAGTGGTAGGGGCGGCATAAGGGCAGAAGAGGGAGGTAGAGGCAGAGAAGAGAAAAGCTCAGTTGTGAAACTGCGCTGACATCTCTCTCCAGGATCATCCACGTTTACTAAGGACCCTATTCATTATAATCTATCCCTGCTTTTTCCCCCAGAATTTGATCATTTGTAGATCAGAAAATGACGGAAGAATGCTCTGGCAGACTGAGTCCCGGATACAGGTTGTTGGAAATGAACTAGGCCTCTAAACATGTGAATGAGAAGTTTGATTTTGATGATTAGGATAATGGAACAACGTGGGCAGTGTGATCTAAGCAACAGTAAGGAAAAGATTTTTGGATAACACAAGGGGATATAATTGATGATCCCAATGCTATGACACCTCCATAGAATGAAGTACTTTTACATTGAAAAACAAATACACCAATGCAAAGTAAAACAGCAAAAGTAAAACCACGACAAGCAATCTCTGTTCTACCTCTCTGAGTTATAGAACCTTTGCTATTAAGTCTTTAAATGCTGTAAACATTACCTAATTATAGAGTAAAAGGTTAAAATACGTACAGATTAAATTGCAATCATTGTTTATATATTTAATTCTTAAAGTAGTTTGTGCTCTTTATTAAAACTGTTAATTGCATAGATTTAACATACTGTGATTTTAAAAACAGCATATTTTTAAGGTGGCCTATACAAGTGGTACCCTCAGTCAAACAAGCATGAGAGCCTGACATACAGTGTGCTCATTATCGGTTCTGTTGACACCAGCTATGGCAACCTGAGCTATTTGGGACCAGGGTCTTTTCTGGCACTGTAGTAGTTCTGGTATAGAATCATAGAATTATAGGGCTGGAAGAGATCTCAGGAGGTCATCGAGTCCAGCCCTCTACCCAAAGCAGGACCAACCCCAGTTCAGTCATACTAGCCAGGGCTTTGTCAAGCCGAGACTTAAAAACCTCTAGAGATGGAGATTCCACTACTTCTCTAGGTAACCCATTCCAGTACTTCCCCACCCTCCTAGTGAAATAGTTTTTCTTAATATCCAACCTAGACCTCTCCCACTGTAACTTGAGACCATTGCTCCTTGTTCTGCCATCTGTCACCACTGAGCAGATCCTCTCTCCATCCTCTTTGGAACCTCCCT